ATAAATAAATAAATAATATATATATGTAAATATCGTATGATCAAGTTCAAATATAATACAACGGATTCTATAATAGAACGTGTGGTTATTTATGTGAGATGAATAACTGTATAATACTCACTTTACGTTGTTATATCCCTAATTACCACGATTAATAATAATATTATTATCTTAGTTAAAAAAACAAACTATCTCCATAAAAAAAACTTAATACATCTTTATATACCCAACTACCCAAATCCCATGGTAAACATCGAAAAAGTTTCTAGTTTTTTACACAGACCAATTAATCAAATGTTGGTAAATTTTTTTTACATTGTTATTCCCAGATGCTCTGCGCTTGTGCAATGAGACTTATGTAACTTAGTTAAAATTTAAATACCCTACATAAAAGTAATATTAACAGAAAACCATGGAATTCGCTATGCTAATATAAGTAGAATTGGTTTCAAGTATACCTCTCAATCAGTAAAGTCAGTGAAATGGACGTCAATAAATCATTTAATACGAAAACCTACTCTGAGCTGATACAGTAAATGTCATCCACAATTTCTAAGGATATATTTTACTATTTATTTATATAACTGGTAAGTTATAATCAATTTATTATTTCTATTGGTATGTTGAACTATTTTTTTTTTTTTTATATTCAACTATTTTATTACATTATCAATTGTTATAATATTACAATGAATAAATATAAATTATTGATATTCATTTATTAATATAGTAACAACAAAAATATTTCTAACCCACTAAATTAAAACCAAAAACCACATAGATTCAATTTTCTACCACAAATCACTCTCAAAGTTGTAGCATAATTTTTTACTGTTCCAAAAAGTTATAATCAACACAAAAACAAAAGTCACTCAGAATCTAAAACGAAAATTCTGTTTTATAATCTATATTTTAAATAGATAGCGGCGTTTAAAAACGTAATACCATCGTTTAAGGGTATTTCTAAAAATATACTTTGTATACCTAACAACGGCAATAAACTGTGATGGTTTTCAAAACTTATACATAGAATTTCTTAAACCATACAAATTATTTCTTAAGTAGACCATAATTGGCCAATCGATTGGGCATTTGCATAAGTTGTTTATCTAATTGTACGACTTTATAACATTGATTCACTACACAAATAAAGTGCTTTCATTTCCAAAATGTTAAATTCTATCAATTATAATACTTGTTCGAAATTGTCACGAAGCGAATGTGATTAAACTTCATTCGGTATTATATTGTTATATTTTCATTGAGCGAAAAATACTTTTAATTCAATAACAATAATGTGACTATGCCATATGGTTTAACAAAGGGATTTTTATTGGGAGAAAACATTATTATTATTTTTTTTTTTAATTCTAACGTTAAAATATGAACTCAAAATTGTTTATTGTTTGATAAAATTTTCTGTTAAGAAAAATGTTGGAACTAAGTCATAAAAAAAAAAAAATTTTTGTTATATTCCAATTACATATACCGCACCGCAGGAGATCACGCATAGTGATTTATAAAGTGTTAACTTCCGTGTGAAAACCGTTACTCTATAACTATATACTGTAACGGAAAATAGTTGTTTCACAATATAGAACGGCTTATACCTACCGTTTGAATTTATCGCAGACATTTGAAGTATGGCACGGCTGAGCGCATTACGTACAGCAAACAACACACGATCTATAAAAGTTAGGTATTGGTATATAGATGTACATTATTATATATTTTCAACCAGAAATGTCTAATAGAAAATAGTAGGAGATTTTTTATCATTATTATTATTATTATTATTATTAATATTGTCGTTTTTCGTAAGGTATGGCAGCCCTTGTACGCAATTCCATAAAATAGATATAACTCTTTAAGGTGAACGATAACGTTTAAGAAATGTTTTTACCCGACATTATTTTCGTGTTTAAACTATAATAAGTAATAACTTACTATATTTCATATATTTTGTTTTTCAATCATGACACTTAACGGAAAAACCGTGCGAGGAGCATTAGATTATTAAATATAAAACGTAGCTACCCCACGAACAGGTTCAGTGATGCTCGTTAACTTCATAAATAATAAATAAATATATTTTTATTTTTATTTTTTTTATTATTATTTACAATAAGACATTCCTAGCCGATAGGCTATCGGCTATCTACACATATGGATAATAAGTAATATTCATTTTTGGCTATTTTAACATGATAACATAGTATAGTAATGATATAGTGATAATAACAATAGTAGACGACGATAGCAATAGTTAAGTTTGGTTAGACATAGAGTAGACAAAAATATTAGAGTAGATAAACAATAATTACATTTTACATTCTAGTTTATAATTTAATTAATAGTAATTAACGAATAACGTCATGCGGACGGCCACGTTTTAGAAGTATTTGTGCTGGTGGACGTATGTGTAAATTGAAGTGAATTGAGCCTGTTGAGTTGTGGAGTGAACTATGGGAATTTTTGGCAAGGGTTCTTATATGATCTTTAATTTTGGTAATTCGGAGGTCTCTGTGTAGGTTTTCGTTACATATGAACCATGGTGCGGTCGTTATTATTCTCAATATTAAAAATAAATATATAAAATATATCTATTCTAGCATCCGTTAAGAAAACAATAAGGTTAATATAATGGAATATAAATAAGAAGTATACAGTGTAAGTTCCAGAAATTTATATCAGCGATTGGTTTACCTAAATAAAAATAAATATTTGATGTCGTATATTATTATATGCATGCACGCGCATACGAATCGTCAATATCCATGCGACCATGTACCTATATAACCCATATTATTATAAACATATGTGAATAATGAACATTAGCAAAGATCGCTCCAATTGGATCGAAAATGGACTCTGGTGAAGACAGAAGAAAATAATTATTACGATACAGTTTTCAACCACGGTTCTGGTTTGTAATTGTATTGAAATGTGATTCTCATAAACGCGATTCTAGTCACAATTCATAAACGCATGTCATGTTTTAAACCATGACGTATGGTAACTCGCGCAAACGTTAAATTTCATTTCAAACTCTGCAAAACTGTTACAAAAATGCACGAAATGCTTTTAACTGCTCATGGATAACGTATATTGTAATCATATAAATAAATACATCCATCTCTTCGCTCAGAATCTAAAATAAATATATGATTTTTAGGCGGTCCCGATAAATGTTGTTTTTTCCAATAATTTACTGCAACGTGACGAAATAATGATAACAATATTATGATGAATAAATTATTTAAATGAAAACGTTTGAATTGGTGTAATGACAAAATGTAACAACTAGTTTTCAAAGAATGGTGTGAAAACATAATGTATGAGAAGTGCTATTACTTAGTTACCATATATTAATATATTATTCATTTATATTGTGCAAAAAAAAATTGATTTTTAGATGCGCTAAGTACATTATTTTTTCAATTCAATCACTCATAAAATTATTTCTAAGCATTTTAATTTTAAACCATCTAGCTTTTTATGTTTGTATCAAATTCATTAAAAGTAAAATAAACTGTTTAAATAGTGTACCTTGAGGGTTTTTATTGTTTTTATTCGTGACATTTTTTTATTGTGCTAGAGTAATTTATGTTATATTAAGTTGAAATAAATTGTAATTTTTGTTCTACTTTTAAATGTAAGTCATTTATTTCGCTGTTCAAATTTTCATTATTCAAAAATTATTAAATGATAAATAAAGTAAAAGTAAAAGTTACTACTTATAAATCCGTCAATTGTTAGTGGAGTTTAAATAAGTTGTTATTAATTATAACATATTTATTCTTATCGAATCTCAATCAATAATAATAATTAATACGTTCTAATTAAATTCTTAACAAGTACCTATATATATATCCAAAGAAATGTCTCCTATATATATTTTTATTTTATTTTTAAAATTTGTAATTTGAGCATTGTGGTACAATGCTTAACTCTGTAGAATGATAATATTGTTAAAATAGGTATTTTAACATTATATTAAATAACAAATAATCTAGTTAAGGTTTGAKTAAAAATGGCTGGTAAAAAGTTAGATAATTAAAAAAAATTTCAATTTTTAGAACTCTCTTTTAAAAAAAAAAAGCACTTTAAGTACTACTTTGTTATAGTAAAGTATATAATGTCTTAGAGGATTAAAAATATTAAATTAATGATAAATTGATAAACTATTAACTTACTTCTATACGTAAATAATATATTATATTATACATAATATAGGTATATAAAGCCACAATGTTAAATAGTATTACATTTATATATTATGAAAAATAGTTCACCATGTATGAATTCCATTACAATATTATTGTAGGTTACTGGAGCTTGAACATTTATAATTTACACTGATGCTTTAGATATGTTAATTTAAATCACAAAATATATATATATATATTTAATTACATCCTCAGCTATTATTAATTTCAAACATCTTATATAGTTATATGCAGTGCAGAACTTTTTCCATAAGCCAAAGTTTTATATAAGCCTAAAACTCGGATGATTTGAATAACGAATAGTTTAAATTAAATTGCATAAACACCACACTACACCTACACAAAATATCCCAATGTTTCGATACCTAAAAAAATCTCAACAACTTTAATTATTTTAATTTCCTGGTGTAAAATAAGTTAAGCCATTATTTTACTGATAGATAAGCAATTTATGCAGTAAACATTTTAAAAATTAACTGGAGGTTAGTTTTTTTCAGATATATGTTATATAATCATAATAATATTTGTATATAATCAAATACATATATTTTACAACCATATTTTTTTACTCGATAAAACCATTCAAAAAAAAAAAAAATTGTATTCTTCTGATTTAAAATAATATATATTCATATTCGTTGTAATTGGTTTTATGGAAAAAGTCAAATTTTCACTCGAACAATCCATTGATAACGTATTGTAAGATACGTTTGGGAAAAACGTGATTTAACGTATATTATGTGAAATGTATTTTTTTTTTTTTTAACTCACGTAAAACGACGTTTCCTCGTTTAACGCACTTCGTTGGAACTTATTCTCAGACGAGTCGAACGGCTGCCGAAGATAACATTAATCAGTCGACGACAAAGGCCAAGCGTACTATTGTTCTTGTATATTGTATTAAACCTATATACTGACACTATACCGCGTAATATCGCGAACTTGTTGTATGCAATTTCTCAGACGGATCAGCAGTACTCACGTAATACTCGACAACTTCGCATCAAAACACCCTAACGGCCACTGATTTTCAAATGCCCGTAGCGAGCACACGCATCGCATAACCAAATTCGAGCATGCGCACCAGACGCACCAGACTTGCGACGTCATAATATTATAATAATAAATACGATGGTAACGCAAACGACTATGCATTGCGGTAGTACAAACGAGTTCAGGCTGAAAATCTAAAAGTCAAAAAAACGTCTTTTAATTTCCTGTATAGGTGTAGAGCAATAAAGTCCTTTCGTCATGATTATATCACTGTGCAATGCGTAGACTACGTATATAACACGCATATAACGCAACTGTGCATATTTTTTAAAATCGAGACGATTGGATGGATGAGAATATACTTAATAATTAAATTTTGATGGATTCCATTTTAACGATAGGTTCACGTATCCTGTCTAACGTGAAATCCAAGACTGCGACACACCTATAACTGTGGAATATTATGTTTCTAAGTAGACACCTGCATCCTCTGCAGCCTATACAGACGTTTTGTCTGTATGATGCTTACGATGTGGTCTCTCTGTTTGAGGCCGAGTACAATAAAATATTCTTATTTTCTTATTTTGATACAGCCCTAAAAGGATTTAAAAAGTCGTGTGGTCTTAAAGATAATTTTAAAAATACTGCAGGTTGTGCAGTTAATATATGAAAAATAAAACTGTTTGCTTGCCAATTTGACATGCGCAATGAATAATTAAATTTCGCAACTTTTTTTTCAATTTGACGTAACTGTTTTTTTGGATTTCCAAAGAGGTGGAATTAATTAAATGCTATATGATAAAATGTAGTTATACTGCGCAAGGTATGTAGATAGGTATCTGATAAGCTGATAATCTATGAGCCTTGGTTACTGAAGTCTTCGTTGAAAATTAAAAAAAGAAAAAAACAGTAAGTACCGAACAATATAAATTGAAAATAAAAAGTCCTACTTCAATGGTAATAGTGTAATTAAAAATACATGTATATTTAAAATAAATTCATTTTTTTTACAAATTTTAGTTTAAGTTCAGTTAATATTACCTCAGTTGTTCTTATTGTTTTTTTTTTTGAAACAGTTTAAATAAAACATTGTAAAAACAAAAACAAAAAATTATGTTAGGTTGGCCAAGAGGCATTAATGGGTGGCTGCTTAATCACACCTTTCATGCTATTTCTTTTTTGTTTTTTTTTTCATACTCTTAACAAATAATCTTATTGTACAGATTGTTTATATCTAATAAAACATTTTTAAAAAAGTTAAACGCTAAGTAACGTATATGATACTCTAGTACATCATTATATACGTTAACTTAAACTAACATTCGTAACAAAAATGAATTTATTTTAAATATACGTGTAAATACACGTTTAATAGGGCCCTCTAGTATGGTGATCAACTCAAATGTTTTCAGTGTTTATTTGTGAAACTTATTCATACAAATAAATAATAACTTATATGTATGACTGGAAACTGCCCGAAACGCCTTAAAAAGTAGTAAAACGATTCACCAACGACTCTGGGACCAGGAACTGAAAAACAAATTATACCAAATAAAACCAAATAAAACCAAATAAAACCAAATAAAACCTTTTTCTGTCACCTAACCCGAATCCTCCCTCAAGTACGAGAAGACAACAGGTGATATGGACACGGACGAAAATTGGACACACAAACATCACACACGTCCACTTAATGAGAAGAGAGCCGAGACCAAACTGCGAACTCTGCAACAACGCCACGATTTCCACAGCACACCTACTCCTAGAATGCCCTAATCTAACCGAACAAAGAAAAAATTTTCCACACCTAACATTAAGAGATATTTTAAGTATAGACAATTTTAACTATTTAATAACATTCCTTAAAATAACCAATCTATATAATAGAATATAAATAGTTATATATTATTGTTACCTATACCATTATCACCATATACTTGTACTATACTGTATTTCCTTTAGTTAAATAATTTAAATATTAAGCTGATTGTTAAGAACTTGTAAACATGTGTTTGTTCCCGGCTAATGACTTTAATGTTGATGCCGTATCAATAAATTTAAAAAAAAACTTATATGACTAGTATGACTGTATAAGGACTAAATATTTATAATTAAAACTCTAAAAAAATTTCATAATTTTTTTTATCAACTATGAAAAATATTTTTATTTTATTATAACAATCGGCATCAATGCCATTGGGAATTTGGGATAGTACAATATTTATTTTTAAAGATGTGTTACAATATTATATYTTAAGTGTTAAGGATAGATAGTAAAATAATATGTAATAAATAAATTTCAATATAATATTAATGCTTAAATTAAATTGGCCAATCCAATTAGCCGGAAGAAAACTATGAAATAATATTATTATAAACTATTAATTTAATGGGTAAAAACAATAATTGTAATAATTTATCATCGGTCCACTGTCTTCTGGAAAGATATATAGGTATTGTTTATGMAAACATCCTTCTATTTACATATTTTCCAGATAATATGAACAATAATTATACTTTGTCTATGATTGTATACTTCAATAATATTATTTTTTATTATAAAAAATGTTGACTATTATTCAATGATCTTGTGAAGCTGGACATACCTTTACCTTCAGTCCTACTACAGTTTGCGTGGACTTTCGCTAATATACTTCTTGATATCTATGGGTTTGTGATATATTTAATGGAACTTGGATCACAAAGGTGCCTTTGAAAACATAACAAAAATAATATTCCAATAATGGACAGATATCATTACTTGAAAAAATATACTTTTGATACTTTACTTGTGTGGTAGCAGGTATCTATAAATATATAAACTCAACGTTTTTGCCATTCGAATAATACTACCGCGACAAAATCCTACTCGAATGCTTTCAATGGATTTTCCGAATCTCGAGCATTATTGTAATAACCATCATTTTAGGTTCCGAGGTGTGTCAGACATTGCTGTCAATATACTATAATAATATATCACACGTTTATTATAGAATTACGTACAATGTCAGTGTTTCATAGGTAGGTACGTTTCGTTCCATTATTTTATTATTATTTATTACTATATTATATAGTTTCTGCTGCAGTGCCGCGTGTACGTGCGAGTATATTTTGTAAGACCGTAACGCACGCGCAATTAAGTGTGTGCGTGTGTTTTTCTATTTTGTTCTTTCGGCGATAGATATTTAACTCTCGACAGTCGACGGCGTTGCTTCGTGCATTATCGATACGGCGAGTTTGCCGGAAATATAAAATCCGAGGCGTTATTTTGATTTTCACCCGCATCGAATCCTTTTTTCAATGTACTCGCAAGCTGCACACACACACACACACACACACACACACACATACGTGCAATGTAAAAACGTATACATATAGATACGCGCGTATAATATTAAAGTGTATCCAAAAGTTTAAATCCTATTGTCTACRCGCGAACAAACGCGACCGGTGGGGAAAATATCCAAAGTTTACTACAGCAATCGTACTCACCGGTATACGACATCAATTTGCGCACGCCTCTATATCTCGAATGGATACGAAACGTTTTATATATTTTTTCCATTTGTACATATTATTATTATTTGTAAATTTTGTTCTCGTCGTTTTCCTCGATAATAAAATTATTTTTTTTTTTTTTTGTTTTATTATTATTATTATTAAACATAGCCCTGGGCATTGTGGCCACTAGGAGAATATAAAGGTATTGCATATAGTAGTAAAACGGTTAAATAACAACAAATAAATAAATAAATAATAGCAGCTTAAACTTTAAGATAGTACTATTCTGATGCCTAAATTAGTTTTTATCATCCTTATTATTATTCTTATTCTGATAAAACATATTATTGTATTATGATATAAGTATAATACATACCTTACCTAMATGATAAAGTTTTTATTTTTGTTTTATGCTCGGCAAACAATAATGATTTATTTGTCAATTATTGATTATATTACATATGTATATATATTATAGTAACCCGGGCTGGATTAACAATAACATATAATACTATAATATACTAATATAGTCAACTAGAGCTAGACTTCAGAAAAAGACTAGCTGTTTTTTTTTCTTCCCAAAAGTTATGGCAAATGTTTGTGGAAAACTTTTTTGAAGTTAAATTTCTTATGTCACGATAGTCCCCTATAGTTGGCGTGTTGGCAAATAGGATCGCATAACGATAAGTGAAACACTCATAAATGGTGGTGGGGTGGCGCGTTGGGGTAGGTATGTTGAGAGTGCTCGACGTGGCAGTGGAGAATGTGAATATTGATGCAACGCCCCACTGCTCATGCAGTAACCCCCAACAGTAGAGTGAGCACAGCGTGTTTCTATACACTTATTATGCCGGCGGACTCTCGGGCAATCGTTATAAATACTCAACTTTATTCTTTAATAAGAATATATTATTTAAATGTTATTAATTACATTTATGAATAACTATTTAGTTTTACTAATTTGACCACCAACAGTTATCTAAAAATAAAATGTTAGTTTAATTAATTATTAATTAATTAGCTTTTCAGCCAATATTTAAATTATTATTATAGGGTTTAAATAGGCTATTTAATTAGTATGCATTTTATTGTATAATATTATAGAAATTATTATTTCAAATCTGACATCTCAATATGTCATAGTTAATCAACTCATGTTTATGATGATTTAATGAATTATCAAAATAATTTTAGATTCTAAACTGAACGATGCATATAATATTCATTTAACAATGGTGCATTTTTTTTCAATCCTTTTGGGCTATTTATATTCGTTATATTAACGATAAAAAACATTTTCCCTGAGTTAAAAAGCTTGAAAATTCAATACAAGGTTCTTCATAAATTGATTATATAGTATAGCAATTTGAAAAGAAGTAAAGCCTTGATTTTATACGGAGTAAAAATATTATATTTTTTAACCATCTTCGTTCAGAATCGCTTTTCAAATAGTATTTTTTTAATTTGTTTTCTATCATCTTGAAATAATTAATTCAAAAATTAATAAATAATGTGTTA